CAAAGGAGATGCAAAATACACTGAAAAAAGAAATTTGGAATTGGACAACATGCCATAACATAGAAGTGTATATAGAGGCCAGAACATTGTGCAGATTGAGTTAGATGCTAGGGCAGGTAGTAAGTATCCTGTGTGCACTGAGATCTATCTATATAGTGAAGATAGTGAGAAAACAAGACTGGTATCGTGTTTTAGCTGGTCAAAGTATTTTATGCGGGCGGCCACAATAGTGGTAAAATGAAAATAGGTGAACGGTCGAGGCATGCAAGGCAAAAGCAGAGTAATAGCATGCAACAAAATATATAGCTAAACAATATGCTAAATAATTCTCCCATCAAGCTCTAACAGTGTGGCAAAGGAGAGTGAACAGGAGCAATGGATAGGACAGTCCGTGGGCCCAAGTCACCCTGTACCATCCAGGGACAGAATATAGTTCACTTTAAGGTAGAATTCTGCAGGCCACTAGGCCCAGTAGAGGGCTGGCTGTCAGATTCAGGGGGTAAGGTCTGAAGTTCCCACAGTTCTTCATTCTCATCCCGTGCTGCAGCAGTAGACCGCATCAATGCCTGCCTCTGTGTCCCCTTAGTCAGAAGTGGGGGATTCTGTGTGCTCTGACCATTGGTGTCAAGGTCTGCTAAGAATTACTAAGAAATCAAAGTGAATTTCATATTTAAAGGACCACTATAGTGCCAGGAAAACAAACTCGTTTTCCTTGCACTATAGTGCCCTGAGGGTGCCCCCACCCTCAGGGTCCCACTCCCGTGGTGCTGAAGGGGGAGGAAGGGGTTAATCCCTTACCTTTTTTCCAGCGCCGGGCTGGGACTCTCCTCCCTCTTCTTCTGTCACCGGCTGAATGCGCATGAGCGGCAAGAGCCGCGCGCGCATTCAGCCAGTCTCATAGGAAAGCATTCTCAATGCTTTCCTATGGACGCTGGCGTCTTCTCACTGTGAAAATCACAGTGAGAAGCGCGGAAGCGCCTCTAGCGGCTGTCAATGAGACATAGCAACCCTATTGTAAACATAGCAGTTTCTCTGAAACTGCTATGTTAACAGCAGAAAGAGTTAATCCTAGATGGACCTGGCACCCAGATCATTTCATTAAGCTGAAGTTGTCTGGATGCCTATAGTGGTCCTTTAAGGTGAATCTTGCTGAACTGGAAGCATATCTGGCTTGGAGAATGTCTTCCATTTGGGATATTTCGGCCTTACATTTGAAATTCACTTTCAATTCCTGAGAATTCTCACTTATGTGAATAAGTCTGTTTACAAGCACTGTCCAACCATAGGTGTATGTATGTGGCTGAAGGATCCTGTCTGTAGTAATGGTAAGGATTTTTTTTTTTAATGTTTCTTTTTTTTATAAATTAATTTAAGAATTATATAAAAAATATTTTTGAGGTGACAGTTGTTCTTTAAAAAAACACTCTCTGTACAGTCTGCCCTCAGTGGAACAGGCCAGGGAGGCTGTCAGTCAGTCTCACGAACATTCACACCAGACTGACATGCCGCTTCCTTGCGCAGCACCATCACCTTTCAGTGAGGGGCTCCCTGTTTTGGATATCACTTGTGATGTCAGGTCAGGTAACATCAGGTCATTCATATTTTCAAAACTTTACAAATGAAAAAGTACTGTAAAGTTCTTACAGGTATAAATTGCTCAGCTTGTGTTTCTGTTTTAGTTCAAAGTTACTTGTTACCCATGCTAGTAATGGCTGCCTGAAATTAAGTCCACTAGACGACTTAAACGGAGGGACGTATTCTCACCTTCCCAAGGGCACAAGCTCAAGTTGCTGTCACAGGCCGTGGGGCCGCTGTGCCCCCAGCGGATTTCTCGGACTGCCTGCCTTTGATAGCGTTTTGGTTACCAATGGCATCTTTTGACTCATAGAATAGTCAATTAGCCTTATCTCAAAGTACAGCAATGCATAGGATAACTCAGTGCGTGTTTTTTCTCTCTCATTATTTTAGTTTGTTTTTATGATTTCTATGAGGTTAGTTCTATAAGATTTATGTCAAATTATTATGCCAATCAACCTTAATAGTTAAATTTGAAGATGGGTCTATCTTGTTACCAGTAAAAAATGGTCAAACTCAGTTACATATGTGTATTGAGGTCCACCTGTGTCATGGGATGCTTCACCCTGGCAACATCTCTTTATGCTGAGAGGACTGTCGCAGTTATGCTTTTTTTCTTATGTGTTATGCTGCTAGCCCAGGGGTGCCCAAAAGTAGATCCCCAGATGTTGTAGAACTTCCTTGATGCTTTGCGTGCCTTCAGAAAGGCAAAGCATCAATGGAGTTGTAGTTCTACATCTGGTGATCTACCTTTTGGACACCTCTGTTGCTCTGTACTACCATCTAATACTTGTATCTCATACCTAATAACATTATCGCTGCTTCTATTGTCATTTAGTATAGCCTGATTTATCTGTTTCATATCAACTTCCTACTGACAAGAATTGTCTTGTTTATAAAGCATCACCACACTGCTTTTATAGCCAGGTCTAGGCAGCTTTATTGGCTTCTAAATTCAGTTATCGTACATTTGTCTGGATATACACAGCCTAGCCTGTTTTACTGTTACTTAAAAATGATGCAGTTACATTGAATACTATGCAATTGTGCTACTCTTTGTTGTGACAATCTTGCAACCACTGTGGGGGCATTGCAGGACAGTTTGTCTTTCATACACAACAAAAATGCCAATAAACATGTTTGATTTTTGCTCTTTATTAATAACAAGAATAATCACTGAGCAGAACAAACTATTTAGGGGTCAGAGGCCAAGTTCTGACCAATCATAGCCCAAGGAGGGATATTTAAACCCCAGAATACCTCAGCTCATTGCACTGTCGTGGTTTCCGTTCCTGGTATCCGAGAGTGCGTTTTCCTGATCTTGTTATTAATATTCTTGGTATTTGACTTTGGCTTTTCCTGATTATTCTAATTTCTGGTTTCCCTGACTTGACTTTCTTATCGATCTTGTGTATTTCTGGTTCCCTTGACCTCGACTTTCCCTTAACTATTCTCTATTTTTCAATTTATTAACCCGGCCATTCTAAGGACCGGTTTACGTTCTTTCTGTTTTTCTGTTCTATGTAGATGTTACATAGTTCTGTGTGTTGGATCACATTAGTAGTCGTGACAATTTCTAAAAGACAGGAGTACAAAAAGTGTGACTAGCAGGTCAATTGGCAACTATGTGGACTCAGACAACTCACCACACCTCACTATTTAGTGAGCAAGTCCCTTAGAGTCGTTTATAGTATTATTACAATCCCAAACACATAATTAAGGCCTAGTCATTGCTGTGTAATAAGGGTAAAGTTGTCAGCAATATTTAGTACTTTGTTTCTTTTTACAGTGTACTCCCCAGCAAGAACCTAGCTTTAATCACCACAAATATGCAGAGTTTGGAGAAAGGAGGATGGTATTTGGTGGAATGAGAAACCAAGGATTTAATTATCTTAAAATTTCTAGGTAGTTCTTCAAAACATGAAAGAAACATATTATCGGTTTTAGCCCATGATTGCTTCTGAGGACGAATGATTAATCACCTGGCTATCCTGTTATTCTGAGTTTAAAGTAGAACTGTCACATTAAAGATAAGTACATCTGAGAAGTCAAAAGACAGCTGTTATTTGTGTAATTAATATTCTGATATATCGCTTCCTTTTTGATGACTGCTCAGCAGCCCCCTATCTAGAATGCATTTGAAGAACCTTTGACCTCCACAAGTGCATAAATTCTTCGTAGTATGCATTTAACAATGTCATTTCTCCTAACAGTCTTGGATTTGGCAGTACAGTTCTGAATTTGGGACCCTGCCTCGCAATCTGGTTTGCTCTTTTGCGTCTCGCAAAAAAATACCTTAAAAAATACCAAATAAGAACGTCATTAGACACGCTTTCACACGGCAAATTAAAGGAACACTATAGTGTTAATTATCTAAATCTCTATTCCTAATGCTATAGTCCCTGTTAATACTCTTTTACAGGTCCCCCTACCCCCCTGTGCTTTAAAATTAAAAAAATAAATAATCTACTTACTTTTTGCAGCGCCGAAGCTCTCTCGGTGCTGCTTGCCTCCCGCGACATCACAGATGAGGCATCCTACACGATGGTCCAATCCAATGCTTCTCATACAGGAACAAGGGGGACCTAATGCGAATACACAGAATATCCAAACTTCCCCATAACAAAGAATTGCATCAATGCTTTCCCATGGGGATTCCCCGTCATGTGACCTAGATTCCTAGTTTTACTAGGTCAATGTCGCAGAAGTGCCTCGAGTGGCTGTTATACTGACAACCACTAGAGGCGGACTTAACTCTGCAATGTGAAAATTGCAGTATCTCAAAAACTGCAATGTTTTAGATTGCAAGGTTAAAAGGACAGGGGAACTGCACCCAAACCAATTCACTGGGATGAAGTGGTCTGGGAGGTTGTGTGCTCATATAAAAACAGGGCACAGACCACATACAAGAGAGTTTCGGAATAGCTCCGTGCATGGGGTAAACTGAGTGGGACTGGCTAGTGTGTTTGTTAGTTAGCCTACGTTACTCACACTCTATACTAACACACTGCATTTTCAGACGATCCTGTTCTTTTTTTTCCATGCGGATGTCTCTCCACCACGCCACCAGTGACTTACATGGCACCAGTGACAGGAGGATATGTAAGCAGGACGGGAGGGCAGGCATTCTACACCAATAGCTAGATGTTCCATTGGCACACAGCATGATGGACCCATGTATGCGATACTAAATTGATGGAAATGAAATGGGACAGTCGCTACTCGAGAAATTCTATCGTAGAACTGAACATTGAAAATCACCTATTATTTGCGCTAACATTTTTTTGTCATGCTCTTTTTTTCTTTTAAAAATTATAGCAACTGACATTACGATCCAGTTCAGTCCTGACATAGCCGAGGAACACATTGCACTGGACGGGGAGCAGCAGAAACATTGTCATAGATTCTCCTCCCCCACTTACTATGTTTATTCACAGAAAGGGACAAATACTGCTGAGATGCTGCCACCAACATTAATAACATAGAATTACTTAGATCACATACCTAACCTGCTAAACACATTATTTGTTGTGTGGCTATTTGTGTTAGGGAGCAAGTGTCCACTGAGTATATTTTAATCAGTAAATGTATACTTGCTTGTCAGATTAATGACTCAGTCTGTCTTTTGCTATCATAGTTTAAAAAATGCTGTACCAGCTCTTCCCCTCTTGATACTATTGTGACATGTTAACGACGACTAATTTGTCATATGAGCTGTATTTCTCATTGTCACAATGTCATGGCTCATTGCGGTACTGTCTTTCTCAGTATATAGTTCTATTTTAGACTTTTGTATTGTACCAGACTTATAAATAAAGGTTGTAAAAAAAATAAAAAAAAAGAATAAATTTAAACCACAAAAAAGTTTAACATAGCACAGAAAACTCATGGCATACAAACACATTCTTCATTCACCATCCTCTAGTACAGGGGTCAGCAACCTACGGCACTCAAGTCTGCCAGAGCTAAACATGCTCTAGTTTATCAAGGGTTCCCGGGACTTCAGATATCTGCTAGTCCAAACTGAGCGGGGATTGCAGGCGGCGAGGGATAATCCTCAATTTACACATAGCAGCACTTAAATAAGCTCGGATCACGTCCTTCCAGCACTTGTGAACGGGAAACCGCACTGGATTAGAGCTACCCGCAACAACTATCACAGATCCTACCCCTGAACTGTACCTGGCCAGCCTGGTCCCCAGTAGACCATAGGGAAGTCACCCACACTGCTAGATATAGATATACACAGAACTGCAGAAGAAGCCTCCCCTCATACAAAATAAAAATACAATACAACAACATATACACCTCAATTTAACAAAAATAGGAATGGCACGCCAAAGGACTTCAAGATCTTGTTTTGGCACAGTACTGCTAAAAGGTTGCCTACCCCTGCTCTAGGACAATTATATTTTTTCAATTGTTTTATTTAAGTGTGATTTGCTTGGTATTTAACATGTACTTCCGATTTTAGGCTAACATAAACAATCTGAAAACACATTCGACCTTCAGATAAGGATTCTGATTTAAAATTTACACTTTGAATTACTGACAATTCATCAACCTGGTCCCTACCGCCCACTAGTGGGCGTTTCAGGATTCCAGGTGGGCGGTAAGGATTTCAGCGGCTATATCCTCTTTTTTAGAGGATTTCTCCTTTTGGGCAGGCGGGCGCGAGCGGCTATGCGGGCGCAAGATTTCAGTGACCGGCAGGAGGGAGCACTTCCTCCTTCCAGGCTACCTTCTGGACCCCCCGGCATGGCGTGCGGCAGTGGTAAGATCAGATGCGGTAAGGGAGCTCTAACCTCTCTGCTCCCTCGCGCAATGTTTTCTGATGCTGCGGGAGCCGGAATATGATGTCATATTCCGGCTCCCGGCATCAGTAGACAGCCCGCAAGGGGGCAGAGCAGAGAGGTTAGAGCTCCCTCGCGCCTCTGATTAGAACTCTGCAGCCCGCCGAAGTGAAGCCCCACTGAACCCCAAGGACAGATCCACACCAGCTCTCCAGGTAGCGAGGCTGGGTGGACATTTAATATTAATAATTTGTGTGTATGTAAGTGTATGTGTGTGTGTGTCTGTAAGTGTATGTGTGTATGTGTGTGTGTCTTTGTAAGTATATGTGTTTATGTGTGTGTCTGTAAGTGTATGTGTGTGTCTGTAAGTATATGTGTGTGTATATGTGTGTGTGTCTGTAAGTATATGTGTGTATGTATGTATGTGTGTGTATGTGTGTGTGTCTGTAAGTATGTGTGTGTGTAAGTATATGTGTGTCTGTCCGTAAGTGTATGTGTGTGTGTCTGTAAGTGTGTGTCTGTAAGTGTGTGTCTGTAAGTGTGTGTGTGTGTGTGTCCCCGCAAGTGTGTGTGTGTGTCTGTTAGTATATGTGTGTGTGTGTGTCTGTAAGTGTATGTGTGTGTGTGTGTCTGTAAGTATGTGTGTGTGTCTGTAAGTGTGTGTGTGTATGTAAGTATATGTGTGTGTGTGTCTGTAAGTATGTGTGTGTGTGTCTGTCTGTAAGAGTATGTGTGAGTGTCTTTAAGTGTATGTGTGAGTGTGTGTATGTTTGTCTGTGTGTATGTGTTCTCTGTATGTGTTTATCTGTGAGTGTGTGTGTCTGTAAGTGTATGTGTGTGTGTCTGTAAGTGTATGTGTGTGTGTCTCTCTGTAAGTGTATGTGTGTGTGTCTGTAAGTATATGTGTGTGTGTGTCTGTAAGTATGTGTGTGTGTGTATCTATCTGTAAGTGTATGTGTGAGTGTCTGTAAGTGTATGTGTGAGTGTGTGTATGTTTGTCTGGTTGTATGTGTTTCTCTGTATGTGTTTCTCTGTGAGTGTGTGTGTGTGTGTCTGTAAGTGTATGTGTGAGTGTCTGTGAGTGTGTGTGTCTGCAAGTGTGTCTGTAAGTGTATGTGTGAGTGTGTGTATGTGTGTTTGTCTGTGAGCAGAGTACTTGTAGAATAGAAGAAAGAAGCAGAAGTATTTGTAAAAAGGAGAAAGAAGGCGCAGAGTACTTGTAGAATAGGAGAAAGAAAGAGTAGAGTACTTGTAAAAAAGGAGAAAGAAGGAAAATTTGTGTGTCTGTAAGTGTATGTGTGTATGTGTGTGTGTCTTTGTAAGTATATGTGTTTATGTGTGTGTCTGTAAGTGTATGTGTGTGTCTGTAAGTATATGTGTGTGTATATGTGTGTGTGTCTGTAAGTATATGTGTGTATGTATGTATGTGTGTGTGTGTGTGTATGTATGTGTGTGTGTAAGTATATGTGTGTCTGTCCGTAAGTGTATATGTGTCTGTCTGTAAGTGTGTGTCTGTAAGTGTGTGTCTGTAAGTGTGTGTGTGTGTGTGTGTCCGCAAGTGTGTGTGTGTGTCTGTTAGTATATGTGTGTGTGTGTGTCTGTAAGTGTATGTGTGTGTGTGTGTGTCTGTAAGTATATGTGTGTGCCTCTAAGTGTATGTGTGTGTGTCTGTAAATGTGTGTGTGTATGTAAGTATATGTGTGTGTGTGTCTGTAAGTATGTGTGTGTGTGTCTGTCTGTAAGAGTATGTGTGAGTGTCTTTAGGTGTATGTGTGAGTGTGTGTATGTTTGTCTGTGTGTATGTGTTTCTCTGTGTTCTCTGTATGTGTTTCTCTGTGAGTGTGTGTGTCTGTAAGTGTATGTGTGTGTGTCTGTAAGTGTATGTGTGTGTGTCTCTCTGTAAGTGTATGTGTGTGTGTCTGTAAGTATATGTGTGTGTGTGTCTGTAAGTATGTGTGTGTGTGTATCTATCTGTAAGTGTATGTGTGAGTGTCTGTAAGTGTATGTGTGAGTGTGTGTATGTTTGTCTGGTTGTATGTGTTTCTCTGTATGTGTTTCTCTGTGAGTATGTGTGTGTGTGTCTGTAAGTGTATGTGTGAGTGTCTGTGAGTGTGTGTCTGTAAGTGTATGTGTGAGTGTGTGTATGTGTGTTTGTCTGTGAGCAGAGTACTTGTAGAATAGAAGAAAGAAGCAGCAGAGTATTTGTAAAAAGGAGAAAGAAGGGGCAGAGTATTTGTAGAATAGGAGAAAGAAAGAGTAGAGTACTTGTAAAAAAGGAGAAAGAAGGAAAAGGAAAAGGAGAGAATTGTTGTTGGCTAATAATAGTAAGTGGGCTGAGTAGCTCAGCCTTCCTACTGGGCATTGCTATAAGGAAGGTTAAAAAATAGAAAAAAGGAAGAAAAAAAAGGTGGGGATGGGAATTGAGGAGGGGAGCTGATGCACAGATGATAAATCATATTATGAGCAGAAATCGTCTGAATATCACCAAAAGAGGAGACCTTTATTCCTTACGAAAATCAAACCATATATCAAATATTTAGTCTCGCAGCATCAACCTCAAGGATCTCATTAATCACTAGTAAAGGTAATTTCAATTTACTTTATTGTTTTCTCATTGAACTTTATAAAGTTAAAAACATTATAAACATGCATTAAGTAGAAATAAAAAGATAAATGTACGTACATTTATTTTTGTTAAAACACCCTCCTTTCTAAAAAATATTCTGCACTTGCGCGAAAACTGGTGGGCGGTAAGGAAATTTTTCCATTAAGAAAGATGCTTTAGTGGGCGGTAGGTAGAAAAAGGTTGACTACCACTGCTTTAGTGGATAACCCTGTATGTACTTTGTAGATTGTCAACAGTTTGCCATAATTGATTTCCCTCTGACTTCAATCGTGAGTTCTCTTTGGAACCCCCAACGTTTCACAATTTACAGAAATGGTTTAACAAAACAGCTTTCGTATTTTTTCTAATTTTTCGTTTTTTTGATTCAACACATAAAATTAACTAGTTCCAAGTTACTTGGGTACTTGATGTATTTGGTAACTCAAGCACAGAGTATTAAGACTCACTGATTACATTAACCATTTTTCTAGGAGAAACGCACATTGTCCTGTTCTAAGTCAGTAAACCATCCAAAGCAATGGTAATTGTTGCAATTTTAATGGGAACTTCGTTAAAGAATGAAAATTTAAAGTCGAAAACGAGTAAGACCCAGTTCTTTTCATTTCACTTTAGAAAATGCTAATCGGTAATTCAACAATGTGGAAAACTATTAAAAAAGATTAATGACACATGACTCACACAGATCACATAACAGCTGACACATTAAGGAAACACACAATTCTACAAACTAAAGCGAACTCCGAAATGTGTTTCTCTACTATTCAAAATGTTTCTTTGCGCTGTCTTACAAACTTTCTAAATGTTGTGGTTTATTAAGTACACACTAACTTGTAAGACAGTTAAAACTGAATTGTAAAATGTATAGTGATATTCCCCGATGTGTGAGCTATTGAGATTTCTAAATAAAATTTTTAAAAGTTTTACATTATTCCAAATCTCTATTGTGCTCTAAATTTTGTTCACTTAAAATTCTTCGGGCACTTAAAGTAACCCTGTCATTTTTTGTGTTTTGATTTTTCTTTTCCTTAGTATCATAATGATTATACTCCCTCCCTTGCCATTTGTCTTTATTTAAATCTATTATCTTTTCTTCTTTGTATCAGACCTCAATACTTCAAGTCAACATTTTTATTTTTCAGAATCTTTCAGTGTAAGATTTTCATTTAGACTGGGTTTTCTTTTGGGAGGGCATAGCAGAAACCCTCATAAATGCAGGGTTCTATTCTATGACTTGTGCCATGCCTTGTTCGGGTATTATCGGAATTTTGTTCCCATCAATATAGAAAGTGTTGAGCAACCTTGATAAGTCATCGGGGCTTGGAGAAATATGTTAGCACAGAGATGTCATTGACACCAGCAATGATCTGTTGTTGAGAGACTGCCTGTATGATTTTCGAAGAATAAGGAAAATATCTGCTTTCATGTAGAAAATATATATATTTTCAAGAATTACTACCTCTTAATGACACAAAATATAACTTGTTTTTGGTGCAGACTATGCACTTTTTTGACTGATAATCTGGGCAAATGCACCATGATGGAGGCATATTTTATGACTCGTATACTAAGAGGTGTAGCTATAACCTTAAACCAGTTTAGGGGTATAAATATGTATTTTTAACGTTAGAGTGTTTCTATAATCTCAATCTTAGGGTGCTTCAGGAGTATTTTCACATGGGTAACTCTGAGTGGGGTTGGACACAACAGCTTTCACTCAGCCAGGTGACACTCTACTTTTTCACCATTTACTTGGCAAGCCACCACCTCCTGCCCCAGATCTTAACGTCCTTACCAAACTGTGCTTTTAAAAAATGAACGGTGTTGTTATAATGCTGCAATGTCAATGAGTACAACACTATGATAAATATGACATTTAAAACATGTGGTAGTTTGGCATTTCAACAGGATATTTGTGTTGTCTGAGACTTACAATAGACGAGTTATTTTTGGCTGTCATGATGTTTGAGACGTTTTCACTAAACTTGAAATTGTGCAAAATTGGCAAGGGAATTGCAAATTTTAGGCCTAACTAGCAGAATAAATATATCAAATTACCTACACGATGGGAGGGTTCTCCTGCTCTCCCCATCAATCACTTCTTCAGCATAGCTATATATACTGGAACTGATTGGCAACAGGGGAAGAGACCAATATTTACCTATTTTTTTTCTCCTATTCTATATATTTGCTAGCATTTCAGGCCCTGGGGAGATAGCGCAGCTAAGCGGACAAGGGCACATGTAGAAGTGTGGGGATAGATACAGGGGAGGGACTTGGGAAGTGTGCATGGGAGGGGTTAGGCTTAATGTAAGTGTGGGGGAGGTCTTATTTCAGTGCCACTTGGGATACGAGCCAGCAAACAGCTTCCCACCCGCCCACCCCTTTTAGTTTCAGTTAGTCACAGCTAGCCGGGGGTATGTCCTTGCCAATCAAGTTTGAGGGGTTATGTCTAAGGATGGACTAAGTTTTTATGTTTTGCAGGTCTCAACCTCCCCTGCTTCAAAGGTTAAACATTAGGTTGCCTGAGGTATCGTGCCCATCGAGCGTGGATAAGGTCGGCTGATGGCGGGCATTGGAAGGATTTTTTATGACGAGGGGGGAGGTGAGAGGAAGTGGTGATTAGGAACCACTGGATGTTTATTGGCAAGGACGGTTGGGTCTCTGCATAGCACGTTTTAGTTATTATATGTATATATGTTAATTTATGATTATTTATTTCTAACAGAAAGAAGAGTTTAATAAATAAAGTTATGGATGTGTTATGCAGTAATTTATTTATATTATAATAAATGCTGTGGCCTGTTCATCCATACTAAGTTGTCTGTCGTTATTGGGGTTTTTTTTATTGGGGTTATCTATGTTATGTGGTATCGTAATTCCCCACTACGTACATACATGCTAGCAAAATGTGTTTAATCCATTTTTTTAAATGAAATACACGACAGATACACTTTAAAAACTAAAATTAGCCTACATATACTAGATGGATACAGTACATATTATAATTAAAAGTAGTACAGCATCCCAAGTGCTTCATAACAAGTGCATCAGACCCTCTCAAAAGCTGATAACCAAGTGAAATGCAAGGTCAAGATGCCTACAATGAATATTATAGCAAACTCTACTGCAGATCCCAGAACAGCTATAAATATACTAGATGCATAACACATCCCTTTTCTTTTCAAGAGGCCTAGCAATCACACCTGGTGGCCCGCAGTGATCTGAGTTATTACCAGGCTCTGACGTCTGTTCCCTTTGTCACGAAATCCCTATTGCCCTCTTAGTGCTGAAGGGCGGTTCGCAGCAGACAATTATCTTTGCCTTAGGTATGAGATAGCATGTCGCACAAACACCACTTAAACAGATTATATAATCTTTCATAGCTCTGTACAAGTCTGCAGTTTGCTGTGAGAAATGCAGGATGTGTCACAGTATACGTAATATCAGGTGTCATTACTACACTAAGGCCACCTAAAAACAAGACGCTAATGATGAAAATGCAAAAGTGACGGAAAAAAGATATCACAAAATATACAATTAAAGGGACACGCTATGCCCCCAAACCACTTCATCTTAATGATTGGATTTTGTGCATAGATTCGACATCACAAAAACAGTAATGTTTAAATTTCTCAGAAAAGACAACTACTCAAGAAAAAAAAACCTGGTTTGGGGACCTAGTAATCTAAACACTTACAATTGTTAAGCAAACACACACATTAGATTAGAATGTTCCTTTAACTTTCACAGCTGATGTTTGCAGTATTTCAATGGTAGACACAAACAGTGCTAAGAAGGATTGACAACGCTTCTGGGAAATATGTTGTGGATCGGCAGACGGTGACTTTTAATTGCTGTGGCTGGCTGAATGGGAGTTGCTGTTTGACTACACGTTTATGAAACACGAGGGAGGTTATTGACAATTTTTAGAAGACAGATAATTGCCGAGTAAATTATTACAGCAGAAAATTAGAATCTTGTAATGCTGTGGATGATACAGTATGTCATTTAGTGTTTAGTGAATTAACATCACCATCACTCAGTAAGTGTTTATATACATGTGGTATATCATATTACATCAACTACTGTATGTCTGATGTTCTGGTACAAAGTGTTCTTTATTTACTCGACCTTCACTATTAAATATGCATGAAGCACAATTGTCCCTTTTGTATTACAAATGAATCTATTAAATGGACACGCAGGAGAAGGATGAACTGACGGATTTCATTTAGTCTGTGAGTAAAACTGAGATTATCTTGTTCTGTAAACACACATAGGTGATGTGATAGACAAGAGACAGAAATCAAAACAAGACAAATGCAGAATAAAAAGGAAACCGAAATTACAATATACCACAATAATATGACTAATATATCTTATAGCCAGCAACATGCTAAAAATATTTAGTTATTCATTAAACTAGGAACTGATCTGATATTTTTAAATACTTTGTAAAAACTGCAGAAGAGCTAGAGTTGAAGATTTATCTACTCAGCTATTGTGTTTTGACCTACAGAGTAAATATTCCCTGCTAAATTCCGGGGAACAAATGACAGACATTTATTTAGTTTTTAGCTGTCAAAGGTTCATGGGAGTTGCAGTTTGATGACTCTTCAATGAGACTTCCATTTACATAGCCCGGTGAGATCTATTCACTAAATGGCAAATTGTGGTGAATTGAGACTGACTGTGAAACCAGAAAGCAATGGCAGACTGTCACTAGAAACCAGCCGCACTAGTGATGCCATGGACTGTAACTCTCATCACTCTGAATGACAGGACTTACACTTAAGAGCATCTTGGGTGCAAGTGTAGGCCGTAAACCATGCAGATAATCATGCATGCGCCCCTATTCTTCATTAGAAACAGTTTTTATGAATGATAAGGTAATGTTGCTGCAACCTTATTCAAGCAAAGCTACTACATTGGCGTTGTATTTACACTCGCCATTTGGACACAGATTTCCACACATTAAAAATACAGGCCTAAGGTTACACTCCATATTACACAGTATGACTAATAAAATAACACCTGCATTTTATACATCTTTACCTGTTATATATCTAACCATGTGTGCCAGAGTGTGAGGAAGGCATTCCTTTAGAATATGTTTACTTAGCTCTATAGTGCCCTTTAAAGGGGCACTCTAAACACCATAAGCACTTCAGTTTATTGTGCCGCTTACTCTAGTAGTTATAGTACAAAGAGTCTTTTGGTGCCACTCACTCTCCAGTTTTCTGTTCAACTATTTTTGAGCTACATCCCAAGTCTTACTCCGCGCCTACTGCTCAAATACACTCATATTTCACATCCGCATGACCCATTCAAAGCCATTCAACCTAGGAGTGCAAGGATGGGGCTGCGAGAGTCATGTGTACAGAGCAAGTCTGCAGATCTAGAACTACTGTAGTTAGCAGGAACATTAGACTGGTTTCCATGGTAACTGTGATGGAAGCTCCAGTGCTACAGACTTTTGGAGAGAATTGAAGGCCTGCCTTCTGCCCATGGACTATGGGCCTTGTCCCAAGAGCCCTTAAAAGGGGCTATTGTCACTGTGAGTAGGTGTATGGGGGTCCCAGATGCTTAGTGTGCTTCCCAGCTGGACTTGAGGACCTCTGGAGACCATCTGGTC